TTTTATAAAGATAATAACTAAGTTTTTCTGTTATAACTCAGTAATTATTCTAATTATATTTAGATTTTATATTTAAAATAAAAATTTTATTCTATATTTGATTATATTTATTTATAGTTAGTTACACGAATTCAAACATAGAATTTAATAAATTGTACTTACGCACAATTTATTTGTAATCTTGAATTTTAAGTAATATACATCAATAAGCAGTATTTCATCATAGAAGATGATTTTTTGTCAAATGCTTTATAATATAGTATAGATATATATTGACGTGGCAAAATTTAAAATTATAAAAAAAAGTGAACTTGAAGATAGAGTCGAAACAACAATGAACTATCGAGAACTAATTTGAGTTAAACAACAAACTCAACAGACATCGAAAAACAACATGACAAGTGTAAAAATAACCGCTTGAAAATTAAAAGAAAAAGGAATAAATAAATAAAATAAATTATATAACAGATAAAAAAAGAAAAAGGTAAAATTGAAAGCATGTGACATCACTCAAGTTTGTTATAACGCATAAAACACTTGTTTTTACCTTGTAAATAAATTATTATTTTATTCACATGTTTATTGTGGCATAGTTGTTGCTCACCAATGCATATCTTACTTACAATATGAGTATCATATTGGTGCTCGGAGAGATGAGAGATGAGAGATGAGAGATGAGAGATGAGAGAGGAGTTTTTTTAAAATATCTAAAATGCCTTCTAATTATAATTTTAATTCAAATTATCATAATTATTAATTTTTTAATTTATCCGTTAATTTGTGGTTGAGATTGGATCTCACAGTTACCACAAACTAATCAGTTCTCATTTGATTAAGCCCCTATATATGGGCATATTTAAAAGAGAACTGATTAGTTTATAGTAACTGTGAGATCCAATCTCAACCACAAATCAACAGATAAATTAAGAAATTAATAATTATGGTAGTTTGAGTTAAAATTATAATTAGAGAGCATTTTAGATATTTTTAAAAAACACCTCTCTCCTCTCTCATCTCTTCGATCTCCAATCTCAGGCCTCCGGTGAACAAAAATCTGGCAGGTACCAATGAATCACAAAGATACACAATGTGATACACTGTGATACCATTTGAGTACCATTGTATATCACAATGAGTATCATATTGTGTATCTTTGTGATTACTTGGTATATTTTTGTCAAATTTTTATGATATCTTCAAACATATATTTTATTCAAAAATGAAAACATCATCGCTTTCTTAAAATCACATAAAGCCATATTATAACATCAACTGAGATAAAAAATAAAATGAAATATAAAATCACGATGTATCTCGCTGCATTGCGCGAGTACGCTTCTAGTATATATATACACACAGAAAGAGAGAGGATGAACGATCAAATGCAAACCACCCATATTTGTACCAACCGTGCAAACCACCATCATCCGTCAATTTCATTGTTTAATATTATGAAATTGTTTAATTTTATGAAATTGTTTCATACAATATTTT